AAATGGTAAAAAGGAATGAATTAAAATCAGAATTTATTTTCTTTTGTATATGTTGAGAATTTTTATCCTGAATAATCTACTCAACTACTAAGAAACATTTAGGTAGTTGAAACATTACTTTCATCAAATATGACTTTTTCTTTTTTATAAACGGCCTTTCAGTGGTACTGATATCAATTCCTGTGTTGTCTTAAAGAGTATTTTGAAAGCACGTTAGAAAATGTATTCTCAGTAAAAATGAAATAAATTGTGAAATGAGATTAAATTATTTTGGAAAGGTAGAGTCAAGCAAATTAAAGAATTTTTCTTTAAATGAATTTTCGTTCGTAATTTAACTGTTGACATATGAATCAAAACGTAGGAGACTAAAGTGTCAAAGATGACTAATGAAACGGATTCTCCTCGGAATAGATCATAGAAACTAACGCAATGTTGTTTTTTTTTCAGAATTTTTTTGTATTATAATGAAAGTTGCTTCAAAAATGCTAAGGAATTCATATGATTCTTTGAATTAGCACAGTGTTCTATTTCAGCATCATCGGCTACAAGCTAAGATACTGTGAAATTCATAGAAGTTTGACAGTAGAAAGATGTAAAGTGAGGTTTCTATCATTTGCTATTTTTTGAAACTCAAAATTATTTCTCTTCTTTTGATATTTATAAAAGAAAAGGAATAATACTTTTTTATAAAAAGGAAATTTTCGACATTTTATACTATGTTTACGAAGCTTTTTACTATATATTAATTATTTTTCATTCAACTTCGGATATAAAACAAATATTCATTACAATATTAATTATCTAAATCAAATTTTATATAATGAATAAGTTATTATTCGATGTATTAAGGTCGTTTTCTATTCATTTGTATTACACAGAGTTCCAAGGCCAAAAACTCTTGGCACTCAAATCACACTAATTTAAAACAGGAAATAAGCAACACAAAAATGAACTTAAACATGACAAGATATGAGTTACAAACTAGTCAAAGCGAAGAATATTTCCTCATATTAGAAAAAAAATGGCATATTTTTTTTATTTATGAAGCACAATTAAATTTGACTCAATTCATTGTTGAATCTTTTAATCTTGAGAGACAGCAATGAATAATTAAACGAAATACAAATGAATCACTTGGTTAAATATTGGCCTTATTTTTGTACAAATCTAATTCCAAAATGTTTTCTAATTCAACAAAATCTTACTGAACGCTATGTTTTGACATAAGTCAAGAAAATCATGGATATATGAGAATAAAAAATGGAAAGTAATTCTGTTGGTTAAAACTAGCAAGGATAAACTACACACACTATTGTGTGTAGCGTGAAATGTAGCTTGTCTTAACCATATATATATATATATCTATTGTTTCTCTTGGGCTTTTTCTCTTCTCACTTGTTTTTTCTCTTTTAAAATGTGGTGCTACCGTATATGTGTGTGTGAAGGATTAAAGAAAATAAAAATAAAATCAGGTCAAACATCAGATCCCTCTCCCTAATACGGATGTATTTTAATGAATTTATATCACAAAAAGAAATCTTGATTTCCGATATTTTAGATTTAAACTTTTAAAGATTCATTTGATTAACTTATAGTTCAGTATATTCACTATAAAGAAAAGCTTCTCTTATGAATAGTGATTTTAATTATCAACGAAAGACCAAGAATTAACAAATTTCAAGCTTAATGTCTACTAACATTTCATATATTCAATGCATACTGAACAATTATTCGTTTCCTATAAAGTTTCAAATTTGTGAATTAGTCTTAAAATAAATGATGAGTATCCGGCGAGAAAAAATTGCGATCAGAGTTGGTGAAAGATTTTTGCCTGTGACCAAACAGGGTATTTGCTTTGATAGTATTATTCAATGTCTTAGAATTTAATATCAAATTTCATCGAATAATATAGATCTACTGAGGAACTATTACATTTTAAATATTCAAAGTCATCTAACTCTTCAACAGATTCATATTTTAATATAGTTTACTATTAAATTCTAAAAACAAACTTCTTTTTTTGCAAACTTCGATTGCAACTAATATTCATCATTTAGATTGAATATGATTCTCTATAAGTTTTATTAGAATTTTGTTCTCAATAGCTGAGATCTAACATACACAAAAATCCTTCTTACACTACTACTCTCTAACGCTGCACTTTTACTCTTTTTAATCTTATATCCTTATAACTTTGCCCTCTTTCACTCTTCTAGCTTCGTATATACGGGATCCGGAATTTTCAGCACGGAAACTTAAGCACGGAAATTTTAGCACAAGAAAGTTAAGCACAAGGAATGATCAGCAAGCAGAAATTTCATCACGAGAAAGTTAAGCACAGGAAAGTTCAGCACGAAGGACAATAATAATGAGAAAAAGTTTTCTATGAAATCAAAGAGGTTCTACAGTTATACAAAATTCTAAAAAGAGATCTTCTATGACTATACCGGATGAATCATAATGACTATGAGAACTACAAAGATTTTGGATGCACATACAAAACTATATTAGACAGTCGAAACTGTACAACATTGCGACACAGTTCAAAAAATGATAGATTTGACGCAATTGCCTTCCTAGCTTTTTATACGCGTCCGAGAAAAATTTGAGGAATCTCGTATCAAGCGTAATATATGATTTGAAGATTTGAACGAACGTCTTCAGTCTCGCTTGAAACTGAGCATGAAAATCATCCGAACTCTGCTATGGTGGTCAAATGTGAGTTTCATGTTCGAATATTACTCAGAGTTTTAAATATTAGAACTCCTTAATTAGTTCAGAGAGCATCGAAAATTAAAGAAATTATTCAAGCACTTCATGAACAATAGAGTGATGAGAGAATCATCTCAAGGTCTGACGAAGTTCAAGTTGATGTATTTCTCAGCATCACTGACCCTTTTTTCAGGACGTTTGTAGGCCATTCGTTCTGACATCGTTAGTTTTGCTATCCATAGATCTACCACAGTTGAGTATAAAATGTTTTCCTTGGACCTATGGCTCGTGTGTTTAATTAATTCACTGAAAATGACTATGATCAAGACTGACTCTAAACCTTTAGATTTGGTGTAAGCTTAGTTGTTCCAAACACTATTTTGAACGTGAATCCAAAATCTTTGTAGTTCTCATAGTCATTATGATTCATCCGGTATAGTCATAGAAGATCTCTTTTTAGAATTTTGTATAACTGTAGAACTTCTTTGATTTCATAGAAAACTTTTTCTCATTATTATTGTCCTTCGTGCTGAACTTTCCTGTGCTTAACTTTCCGTGCTTAAGTTTCCGTGCTGAAAATTTACCAACCCCGTATATACTTATACTTTAAGTTCTTCATCACTTTACCTTCTCATCCTTGTATATCCCTTGACTTGATACAGCCTGAATATTATATATATATATATATAGATCTGCTTATTCAAACGATTGCAATTGTCATGAAAATTGTTGAGTATACAGTTTTATAGAGGAAGACTTTTCAGTGGTGTATTCAGAGAAAGCCTGTACACTCACCCCTTTCTATTATCTCACCTTATGAATGAGCTTCATTTCCCACAACTTTTTCTTATGATTTCTCCTCTAAGACTTTCGAAATTAAAATTATCTTGGTCTAACTTTTCAGTATGAATATAAATAACATTTAGCTCTTTAAGTTTTTTTTAAAGACTTTCATTCTTTTAGTCATTCGTATATCCTTCAACTTCCTCGATCTTATAATATATTTATGATTAAATTGAATATCATTACTTTTGATAGATAGTATCACATATCTTACTGAACAATCTAATAGATATTGTACTATATATGAAGCAGGAGCATATCCAAAAGGTCTTTGGCTCTAGAAAACAATTTAGTCCCATAAAAAAATACTTTTAACTTTCCCTCTTACGATGCTCTTTCATGATGATAAAGCCCTTTTCCTAGAAATTTTTCTAGCTATCCTACTTCTATCAAGAATAAAAGCATTTGATTATAAATATAAATATATGCGGAAACTTCGGATTTTATTCGAGTTACGTGTTGTACAAAAAGTATGAGATAGATGAGTCAATGTAGAATGTCTCGATATCAAAATTATCATGAGAAATCTTTTCGATTAACATGATTTCTACTCACTTTTCATCATCCAAAAGGATTTCAGGTGGAATAGAGCTCCGACTTGACCTCTTCGTCTTTATTTTTCCTAAGACAACGATTTTTCTCATAACTTGATTTTTATTGGTTACTGCTCAAGCAATAGGATTTCAAAGTAAATGGAATACAGATTCAAGTTTTCCAACCGAGAAAACCTCGAAATAATTTATCTGTGATTCGAAGATAGAACTTTAATTATGGGTTAAGGAGACCATTGACAACCTTGGAATCACTTCCTCCTTACCTTATAGGTGACTCAACTTTCTTACTCCTTTGCATACTAAACACTCTCTTGTCGCTTGAAAAATCCTCTATCGAAGGGCATATAACAAACAGTGTTTTATTTGACTCTGATAGAAACATAGGACAAAATCAATATTTAGGCAATAACTCAGGAAGTTCTTGGTCAATCAGGTTAATTTTGGAAGTCGACCGAGATATTGACAAGACCCAACTGCCTAAAAAATTTCATGATAGTCTGACGCTTTTTTCGAAGATTATCATGTAAATGGCCACACGGGCAGACTAACCAATCCTAAAAATGTACTCACTTTTTTTGAGTACACCAATTAGCAGTTGTATAATTAGAAAAAGTCTGTGAGAAAATTTCTATTGAAAGATCATCAAAGAAAGAGCTAAGCCTAAGCCACTAATGATTAAATTAATGAAATTTTCTATAATATTGCATAATTAAATTTGTTCTTTTATCATAAATAAAAATGTTTAAAACAAAACAAACCTTGTTCAGTTCTTATTTTTCTTAAGAAAATATTTCCGGAATAAGTTTCATTACAATTCCCTAAACAAATCTTAATTCTATCAAAAAGTGTATTAATTTTCGTTGGATATATTAAATTAAGATCAGTTAATAATCAACAAACATGTGTTGAACTATCATTTGATCGATTTGGATGTAAAATACCTTGATAAAGTAAAAATTTATTTGCATGATAGTGTTCAATAGTTCGTCGTAAAATTGTTCCAATAACACGATGGATACCATGTAATAATAGATTATTACCATATTGATATGAATCAGAAAAAGATAGAATTATTTTTGAACAATAACCATGATAATCTTGTTCTAAACCATTAATCCATACATCTAAAATTTTTGAAAGACGATGGCTTAGTCTCATTTCGGGTACTTTTTCGTTTAAGTTATGAAGTAAACAAGTATTTGTAAATGTATTGTTTTTTTATTTTGGAGATAATATTCTTTTAAATCAATATATTTTATAAATAAGTATATGATTATTTTCTTCTTGTATTCATGATCACGAAAGAAAATCTACGAAGACAGGCAACATCTATGCTATTCCTTCAACAAAAAGTTTCATTTTATTGAAAGTCTTCTAGATAAAATTTAAGACTCCACGTCAAAGATTCATTTGTCATATCTAACGTTAGAATATTCAATCAAATAGTTATCCTAATGATAGTAAATATTTTACTGCTAAAAACTAAGATCGCAGCTCAAAAGTTTATTTTTCATATCTAACATTAGAATATTCAATCAAATTGTTATCCTAATGTTAGTAAACGTTTTATTACTCACAAGCAAGATCTCAGCTCAAAGCTTTATTTTTCATATCCAACATTAGGATATTTAAGCAAAAAATTATCCTAATGTTAACAAAGGTTTTTATTCAGTCTTTTCTTTATCCAAAAAATGAAGAATTGCTGGTGAAAAGCTGTTCTAAGGTTGATACTAGCCGTATTTGGTACTTAAAGTGTAGCTCGAATATCTATATTTTTTAAAATCAAATGAGAGAACTATTTATGTAAGAAATGTGATCATGAATTGAAGGAAAATAAATAATCATATAACTCACATTAATTGAATACAAAGTCAACTAAAATCTTATATTTTGAACAGTTTAATGGTTGAAAAATTAAATGCATTCAAATTCATGAAAAACTCAATGTTTAAATGTTGATATTGCTCGCGCCTCTTTCGCATTAATTAATCAATAACCATTGCGCATTTTATAAATCGTTAGAAATATTTGAAAAATGAAATTAATTGTAAGAAAAAAAATCGACAACTGATTGGCATATGTAGCGAGCATATCCGGTGAGAAAATACTTCAAAAAAAATAATAAAAAAAATCCTAGAAATTCTGTTTTATTTGCAACTTCAACTAAACATTATATTGCAAATTTTTATTCTCTTCCTAGTTTCTAAACATCGTTTTAAAATAGCCAAGAATCAACGTATTTTTTAAAATTGTACCAGTATACTTCGATATTACAAACCTGTCATGTCAGTATATCTATTCGTGCTGAACGACACTGCTGTTATATTTGCGATATCTACTATAATATTTAGAAAATGTCATTTGTGACGTTCAGTAGCCTATGCACAAAACCAATATTTACCTATAATGCTCAAAAATACTTGTTTTTCTGTTCCGATTTCCTTCTATAAAAAATTGAATTATTCCAAGGTGGCTATCATCTTGAAAAACTCTTCTTCTTAATAGAAGGATTTTTTAAGTGATTAATTTTAAGACAGTATCTTTATCTGTGCTCTTAGTAAATCTTTTATTTTTAGAATATGGTCACTGAAGATAGATTAAATATAGTTCTATAAAATAAGATTTGCTCTTGTAAATTGTAAATTTTTGTAGTAAAGAGGCATAGGTTATACTAGACTTTCAGATATGACCTGATAGCTTTGCTGATTGATACCTACTCCAATAATTTTCTAGCTCGGACATAGGCATTAAGTAATTCTATAAGTATACGGTATTTTCTGCTTAACAACAACTGTTACTCAAAAAACTTGAAAATAATAGATCTATCTCCGTTAAAATGATTTTGATAAGCTGATGTCTTTAACTTTTTTTTCCAACGGGATCATATTTATATTATCGTCGTCGTCTTCCAAGAAATTTATCAGAGCAGGAGGAAAAATTAAAAAAATCCTATCAGTGATTTATCGGTACTAGTCTTATCAAAAATATATTTGAATATAAATATCAATCTTCCTGAAAACATCAAATCTATATATGAACTTAATATTACGAAAAGTTATTATTTTAACTTTCTGTAATCGTCACAATGATGAAAACAGATATAAAACTGGAAAGTGGGTGTGTACACTAGTGTAGATAGCCACTCGGCTATGTACACCCATATAGGTGTAATAAATAAATTAATAAATATTAAGTTGTATTATTGTCTTATACACACTTGATTATTTACATGAAAAAATATTTTAACTTGTTAATGATTTTACTGCGTGAATTTGTTATGAAATTGAAATAAAATATAAATAAAATACTACAACTGTGAAAGTGCAGAAGAGAGTTAACTCAAAGAGAAATAAACTAATTTAGTAACATTTCTAGCATTTTTTCTCTTAGATTTTAAAGAAAATGTTAAATTTTATTATTTTCAATTTATTTAGCATAGTTGTCATGTAAGGATAACTGATCATACAACTGAAAAGACGAAACATCCGTATAAAAAAGAAAATAACAAAAGTTAGTGCAAATAATGCATAATCGTTAGCACCAATTTACTGTTAATCATTTTTAAATGTAGCTAAAACTATTTTTTAGCAGATAAGATATCCAAAAAACAGAATTGTTAATTCTTTTAAACAACTTAACGAACGATAAACTATTCAAACACTATTACAGTCCAGATTTAAAATTGTTAGTCAGTGGTTTAGTATTTTATTCATAACTAATAATCTAGTACTCTAATAAATTTGTGCACATTTTACTTTGTGAAGGATCATCTTAACAATTAATATTTGGAAATTGTTTATGTAATGATTCAAAAAATAATATATGTGAAAATCAACTAAGTATTCTGTGTTATCATAAGTGTCATGATTATATTTTTTTCTTACATTTATAACTATGTTTTTAAGAAAGAATCATTATCTTTGAACTTCTGTGTGGCCAAAGAATTATGATCAAATTCTTGTTCATGTTTGAGAGTTAAATCAAGGATCGACACTAGTAGACTAGTATGAGCGGATCGTGAAACGCGATTATGCAAATAAATCACTTGAATTAAAATATGATAGCGTGATAGATTTTTCGTAATAGGTGATGAGAATGAGTGTAATGATCTCTTTAACGAAACAATAATATTTATTTAATATCATAAATAGGATTACTTCAAAGGATCTACTTCATTATAAGAAATATCTATTCATTTCATTTGATTTATAGAAGTATCACTAAGGCTCCATAGAAAAAGATTAAATGAAAACTAATCAGTTAATCTTCATAAAGGTTATTTTTTAGACTTCAAACTAATTGGCGTTTCATATTTTTCAGTTTCCGATTATGTAAGTCAATTAATTGAAAAAAAATCTTTCGCTGTATAACAGATCAACAAAAGCAGTGTGATATAATATTATTTTCGTTCAGTGCTTTGAAAATAATAAAACTTTACATTTTCTTTAAAATCTAAGAGAAAAAATGCTAGAAATGTTACTAAATTAGTTTGTTTCTCTTTGAATTAACTCTCTTCTGCACTTTCACAGTTGTAGTATTTTATTTATATTTTATTTCAATTTCATAACAAATTCACGCAGT